TATATATATATATATATATATATATATATATATATATATATATATATATACCAATAAAATGTGTGTGTGTGTATGATTAAGCTTAGAGTACTGACACACATAATATAAAACCTAAACTAAATATACCCAAGATTGATCTTGATCTTCAATAAGCTTGACTTGGTAAACTTGCGGATGAAGCTTGAATTTGGATCTTCAACTTGAATTGTATGGCTTCACTCCACAATTCCGCCAACCTTCATTGGATATGATCGTGAAAGCGCAATTCCATCCATCCTCCAACTCGTTGTTTGCCTAGAATAAATACGAGAACACAAACACTAGACAAACAATATTAGAAGTAAATTATTTGTTAAACATCATCAAAACAAGAAGGCCAACAGGGTATACTAACCTCTTCTCTAGTAATTACCATCCGAAGCAAATCAAGAAGTATTTTAAAATAATTATTAGACATTCTACTAAGTGTCTTAATATGTAGGAGTTTCAGCATAAATGAAAATCTAAAGTACTCGGTACAATCCTCGTATAGGTCATTTTCACTATCGTCTAGTAGCTCCATTATTCACTTTATGTCTGCGGAGGAATGCATATCTTCAATATTTTCTACACCTTCGACATCTCCGACCTCTTTAGAATTATCATCGGTATCATCTTCAATGTCATCTCTGATATCATCCTCAACATTATCATCGATATCATATTCGGTAGGACGAGAAAAACATCATTCAACATTGTTTCTGTGTTGTCTATCTATAAGCCACTAGACATATCAACACACACATTCGACTCCTCATTTTCAATACAGCCTTCCCTATGATATGACAAATATTTATATTTCTCATCAAACCCTAATTTTATTAGATGGATCAGTATATCACTTCCATTCTGCAGCTTCATATTCTTACACTTACAACATAAACAATACATAGCACCGCTACTTAAATTTCTTGGATTTATTTCGGCATACCGCATGAAGGCGTCACATCGCTCCTTATATCGCATGTCATGAAATCTTTCAAGCCGAGGAATGTCTATCCACGATTTGTCAGGAATCATCCTCATCTGTACATTATATATATAATTATTAACTATAAATAATTAATCTCACTACTACTAGTAAATTTATGACTATTCGTGACAATATACATACAACACACATCATACCTACATACATATATCATTCAACAATAAAAATATTTTTCATCCTACAGTAAATCTGAAACGTATATAGAAACTAATTAGACTATTCTAGCGGCTGTCATGAGAAGGCTTCTATCCCGTTAAGAATATAGTAGTGCTTACATCCAACTTCTTATACTTTATATGTTTTCATTTCTTAAATATTTTGGCAGCACCTACCCGTTGTTCTCCTAATAATCATATTTTATTACAATTTTATACCCTCATTATCTATTTTTAATGAATAAATATATCACTAATAATTATTTTTATCTTTAATTGTAGGTTAATAAAGAAATAATAAATAAATACCCAAAAGAATCCAACTTCCTTATTTTTGTAACCTTTTATTAAAGCCCAGAACCAAGCCGAATAGCCTGTAGAAGCCGAAGAAAATAAAAAAATCCAATATGAAGAGAAATTATATTCAAGATGGTTGGCCGCAAAGAAACGGCAATATCTCCCAATTCGAAAGGTGGAATTTAACATATAATATATAAAAATAGTCTATCTCGATGAGACGAAGCCAACCGTGAAGTCAAAATTTTTATTGGAGCATCGATGCTTGTATCGATGCGGGCATCGATGCTTGTATCGATGCGGGCATCGATGCTTGTATCGATGCCAAGTCGTCCAGAATTCATCAACGACCAAAATTATATTCTTGGGGCTCAAGTTTGATCCAAAGGCTCTCATTCACTGATGTTTACTATAAATAGGGATAGAGAGTGAGGGGTTAGAGGTGTGAAAATTTTTATAACTCCATTTGGAGAGGAGAGTCACTCTTAATTGAGAATGCCTTCCAAATTTGTAACTTTTGTTACAATTAATAAAATAATTTTTTCATCACTTTAAATATTTCTTCTCTTTGTTGGATGATGAAGATGGAGATGAAGAAATATTTGGAGGTTTGCATTTTTTATTTTTCTCTTTTATTTTTCTATTGCTTATTAGTTTAGATTTATTTCTATGCTTGTAGTTAGATTTTATTTTCTTGTTAAATAGCCAAGAGGCTAGAACCCTCTTGTCTTAGATTTATTTTATGCTTATAGAGTAGATTTATTTTCTTGCATTTAATTCTTAAAATTTATTTTGTAGTTTAGATTTTATAATTTATTTTGTAGTTAGATTTTAATTTCTTATACTATTCACCTTTTAGTTTTTTTTTTTGTTTATTTTTATTTTCTTTGATTCGCCTTTAGGCTAGAACCCTCTAGGGAATCGTCATTTTATTTTTTTATACTATTCACCTTGAGGCTAGAACCCTCTTGGGTTTAGTTTTCCTTTTTGTTCATTTTTATTTTCTTTGATTCGACTTTAGGCTAGAAACCTCTAGGAAATCACCTTTTTCTAAGAAGTATATTCAATTCTAGATTACACATATCTTTAATTGAATTCTTCATCTTTACTTTCTTGAACTTTCTTTTTATTCTTGATTTTCCTTTTTGATTCTTGATTTTATTCATCTTTCTTTTTCTCCTTGTGAAAATCATTCATTCTTTGTCACATCTACTCTCACTTACATTTTGTGCCAATTTACACACTATTACTTTCACTCTCATTATCTCTCCACAATCATACTTATTCTTCACTGCTATTTGTCGTGCACACAACATAAGAACCGATTTATATTTTCTCCTACAAAACACCTTCCTCGTGGGATCGATAACTTTTTATACTATAACTTAACACGATTATTCACTTGAAATATTTTTGGTACATGTTTATGCCGCATCATCTCCCTGTACACTGTGTGGATAATATTATGCGTATTGGCAATAGATCAAAACACAGAACAATATACGCTTATTGTACACGGAGAATAATGAATAGTGTTACCGAAACTTTCAAGAAATGAAAACATACAAAGTATACGAAGTTGGATGTATGAAGAAGAATGAAAGGTCCCACGGTGGGCACCAAACTGTTGATGTTAGTTATCAAACATAGGGTTTATCTGTAAATTACGGGGGTATTAAGGCCCTCAGGCTTCTTTAGATGGCTGGTTTCTATGCCAGATGTTCTATCCTGCACATGAAGAACTCATGAGAGGCCGGAGTTGGAATCTCCAGTGGTTCCTCCGATGATCAAGTCAGTAATTTAGCTTGAGTGAAGAAGTAAGAGATCAAGTAAAGAAAGATGTTTAGAATTGCTTAGGAGCCCCCTCAAGTTACCCTAGACAGTTACGTTTTTAGTAAGTCGGAAGGGCAGATAGGTAGCTTTGGCTGAGTTGAACTACCGGCCTAGTTATCATCTACTATATAAGTGTTGGCTGCTGAAGGGGGTGAGTCACCCAGGCGTTTAATGTGAGGATGACAGGAGACGCATAGTGCTGGCGAGGTTCGATGAGTCATAATGACTATTAGGGCTAGAGCAATGATAACTCTGACCACACATTTAAGCTGACCACACATTTAAGGTGATGGCAAATTATCTGTCGGCTGGGGGCTCGAGGACACACCACCACCCGATTCATCTAGTTGGAGGTCAGCAATCACCACCTTTTTAGTTGGCTTCACAAGTTGTCGACCTGGAAGAGCCGAATGGCAATAGGGAGTGGAGTCGATTAGAGTGGTAGGCCGAGTGTGGATGACTTTCGTCTCGATCCTATGGGTAGGTCAACAAGTATCACTTTTTTAGTCGGCTTTGCAAGTTGTCGGTCTGCTGGGTCGACCACTGGATCTACTCGAGTCGTCTCTCTTTGAATGCGTCTGATTAGCCAAAGTGGGACATGTGTCATCTCCTAACGAGATCAACACTTAAACTAGTTTGCATGCTATAACAGTTTGGCATACAGTGATTTATTATTATTTTACTGTGACTTTGCTATATTTTTTTTCTAAATTATTCGGCATGTACTTCAGTTTAAACAAAATTCTTAAGATATTGTTATTAAAAAATTGCATTTTTATACTTATTATCCTAGTAAATTATTTTGCTCGCTCATTCCATCGTTAGTGGTCATTGCTTGTGAGATGGTTTTGGTAAAATGTGTTTGAAGTTATGAAATGAAATGGTGCTGTGTTTATGTTAAAATTGTTTGTTAGACTATATTTTTTCGGTTGATGAGGGAACTTCCTTACAATTCTATGGACCATGGGTATCAAATCCCAAGGTATGGCTAAGGGGCATTCCCCAATGCACCGTCTTTGGTACTCTAGGAACTTAAAATTTTGTGGGTGTTCCTCAAGAGAGTCAAACCGGAGACCTTGAAATAGTTTGTTAGACTACTTCGTTATCATGGTTTGTGTTACATCCACACGCTTTTCTTTAGTGAACATTGCAATATGAAAAAAAAAAAAAATCCTTTCCACGCTAAGGTAAGTATAAGGCTAAATGACACTTAAATGCCACAAACTTTCCCCATTGTGTCACATATGTACTTTAAGCTATTTTTTGGTAAATAAATATCATAAGTTGTTTAAAATTGGCCGTTACTATTTTCGACCATGTAAACATGAAATTTTTTACACTAACATGCTAATTTTATAATTTTCTAACCATTAATATTTTTTAAATTTATCATTAAATGTATCACAACTCTATTTTAAAATAGAATTAAGATAATTTTAAAAAAAGATTTTTTGTAGATTTAATAGCAAATATAACAATAATTGATAGTGAAAAAAAAGTCCAAAAATTATCATGCAAGATTCATATTCGGGTGAACACTTTCACGTTTCTATAATCGAGGACACAAACGTGCTAAATTCGTCAAACTCACACCGTTGGATCTAATGGACGGTATAGATTGAAGTGGAGAAATGTGAACGATTATACTCTAGGGCTTTAAATCTCAGCCGCTGCCCGCAGCTTCCAAGCCTTTCGTTTCTGTGGTGTCATCCAAAGTTCTTTGTTCTCTACAATCCCTCAAAGAACAAAATCATATTCTAGATTATTAATGAGAATTTGGCATGCAATTAGGGAGGATGGCTCTGTTCTTCTCCGCTACACTCTTGATGATGGATGATGTCGATGGTGATGAAATCAAGTTCTCGGATTGGGAGGTTTTGGAAATAATAAAAAGGTGATTTTTTTTTCTTTGTTATTCTAAGATTTGTCAGATTCCAGTCTATCAATTCATTATAAGGGATATGATATTATTTTTATTTGCATCTAATTACTGTTAGAATAGTATATACTGCCACCTTAATAATCTGTGGTTAATTTCCCGTTATTATGGCATGTTTATGACTTTGGTTGATGGATTCACATGTTCTCTTTTCCGTATTACTAGTTTTGAATTTTTTTTCCGTGGACGAACAAAGGGTGGTGACTCAAAGGAAAGAACAAAAGTTTATGTAAATCATTAGACGGAAGTTTTGAGTGTCTACACAATTTATAATTTACACATAAATGTGCAGAAACCGATTCGTTAATCAATGTGAATCGAGATGGATGTTTGGTTGCTTTATTCATTAGTTACTTGAAATTTGGTACTTGTTCAGGGAAGAAAAATACCCATCGATTGTTTACTATTGAAAAGATTTTTGAATGTTTTCAAGTCTGTTTTAACTTGTCCTCGAACTTCTACATTGAGTTTTTCACATTGTTTTGTGATTTTTATCATAACAATTATGTTGACCATCTTTGAATATTTTATCCAAATTCAAGTGCAAATTCTCAAAAATAAAATAAAATAAAATGGAAGCTAACATATAATTTATTAATATCAAATGAAAATAGAATGGAAGAATAGTTAGAAATGTCAGCTTTATGTAAGACGAAAATAAAACTATTATTCAAACATAAATTTATAGATAAGATAGAAGGAAGGATAATTTGAAGCTACTATATTATGGAAGAGTATTATACATTGGCCATTATTAATGTATAATAGCAAACGGATAATTTGAAGCTACTATATTATGGAAGAGTATTATACATTGGCCATTATTAATGTATAATAGCAAACATGTGTTTCTTATGATAATAATATTTGAAGAGTATTATACATTGGCCATTATTAATGTATAATAGCAAACATGTGTTTCTTATGATAATAATATTTCGTGACAAAGAAGAACTGGCTGTGATTTATGTCAGCTTTATGTAAGACCAAAATAAAGCTACTATTCAAACAAAAATTTGTTGATAAAATTGGGCAGGATAATTTGAAGCTACTGTTTGAATCCTCTCTTTGCTTCTCTACCGATCCATTTTGAGAGAGGATTCAACTTTGATAAACTTTTTGAGTTCCAGCCCATTGACATAGTTTTCACAATAGCCAGGATCGAGTCTATAATGATTAAAAAACCCAAGCTCGCCAACACTACACTAGTCAGAGAATTTTACGGTAGTTAGGATAGATCATAAGAGGATTCAGCCACTGTTGTTATTAGAGGAATTCCAATCGCTGTTACACCTAAACTCATTGAGAAGAGTTTAGGACTCCCTAGACCACCTAGAGGTTGCCCGAATTTCTTCCGAGCTTCTACTAAATTAGGGATAACCTCTTATAGATATAATGAGATGGAGTATCTTTTTATGACAGTACCGAGGGGTGAGACCCTAAACTCCGACTTACTTAAGAAAGAGCTCATTCTCTCAAACCTCTTTCGTAAGTTTGACTTATATCTGAGCTCCTCCTACTCCGTGATCACCACCCACGACCTCGTTCTACTATAGTGGATCGCCACCGGTCAACGCTTCGATGTAGTTAACGTTATCTTTAAGATACTAGCGAGTACGGTGACTAGCGCTAAGGAGTATCTAAGTCAGCAGCATAGGCAAAAGGTCCAGCTAGTCTATCCATTTCTTATCACTCTGATCTGTGAGTCGCTAGGTGTACCGGTGTATGCTACGGATAGTCTTGTGGCAGGGAGAGCACCACTGACCTCTGATACAGTGAAGAAGAGTATTGCCGCTATGGGTAAAAGGTCAGATGCGTCCACCTCTTTACATGCACCGGCACCTACTCAATCGACCCCACCTACACCATCTAGTGGACACCCCAGATGCTTACTGATCATCTCTATGCCCTCGAGACGGGGTTCCATCGGTTTCATACTTAGTACAGATCCGATCAGGCTCGTCTCGCAGCTCAGAGAGACCAATTTTGTCAATTTCAGAGTCAGTACAGTTTCGACCGCGCCTATATCACAGCTCAGATGGACCAGTTTCAGCAGTACCAGCACTACATAGCCTCGGCCCTTCATGAGATGCGATCAAGATCTACGCCGCCTCCATTTTTATCAGCCTCCATCCCTTCCTCCATCACAGCAAGACCCACCCCACCATCACCGCTACCACATCGTCAGCGTGCTACACATACAGAGGATGGGGAGGATATCGACAGTAGTGATACAAAGACTGAGAAGGAAAAGGATGAGGACGTGGATGTTACAGGAACTGATGATGAGGATGATGAATATGATGCGGAGGGTTCTAGCCTCTTGAAGAATAAATAGAAACTTACATTCAAGGAGGGTTCTAGCCTCTTTAAGGAAAATTTCCATCTTCATATATTTCTTTATCAACAACTATTGAAGAAAAGAAATTTATGAAAATGTGAGAAAAAATTGTATTAAATGCAATAAAATTATAAGTTTGATGGTTTTCTCAATCAAGATTAACCCTCATACAAAATTTTCCACACCCTCAAACTCTCACTCTCCACCTCTATTTATACACCAATACACCCAACCTTAATAATTAAAATACAATAAACACACATGACAACACTTTAAATAAAATAATCAACAACCCATAACAAAGCATTTTCGGCCGGATCGCACTATTGCGCACTATGCATCGATGCCAGCATCGATGGGGGCATCGATGCCAACCTTGCTCCTTCGCTGATTTTGCTAAATTTCATTTGTTTTCTAATTTTCTTGTCTTGGGCTTCCATAAAATGGAAAAAATTGAGAAGTGAGAAATTTGAGGGTTTTTACATGAAATAATATTTATTTGAGCTTTTATTCATTTACTTGCAAATTAAGATAAAAAATTATTATTAGCAGATATATTTATTCAATTAACTAGATAATGTGGGTATAAAAGTAAAATAAACTGTGTTTATCAGCCATTCAAATTTTCGATATTTCTTTTTATTTCTCATCAAACGAATGACATCTTTTTTTAGAAATCCTAGGACTGTTAGCATTTGGATTGCAAAACCAATAACAATAAGGTGGTCATCAAATTTCTCAGGAAAAATGCCTTCTCCCTTTTGGATTGCCCTGAGTGATAATAAGTGATAAAGGTGCACATTTTAGTAATTATTCATTTGAGGATTTGATGAGGAAATATTCAATTACTCACAAATTATCCACTTATCATCCACAAACAGCGGTAAAGTTAATGTCAATAATAACAAATCAAGCAAATTTTCGAAAAAACTGTGAATCAAAATAAAAAAAATTAGTTTGTGAAATTTAGTGATGATTTGTTGGCCTATAGAACAACATTTAAAACAAATGAGAAGTTGTGTTAAATGATGTAACATAAAGTAATAATCGTAAACAGGAATTTGCTTGTTGTTGAAAGTGTATCCTAAGTTGAACTGTAGCATTTTCTTCTTGCAAATACTCATCATGTTGAACTCTAGTATTGTTTTTTCCCCCTCTTAAGTTCTCGTGAACATAAATGCAAGCACCGGTTACATGCAACTTTACAGCTGAACACATCGATGAAGTACAAATATTGATTAAATTTGTGTCCTTATAAAAGTGATGATCCAGGTCACACAACCATTTAAATGAAGTGGATCACTAGGATAATAAGTTTCAAGTAGGACTCCCTTGATTCTCCTGGCCCAAGGAGCTAAAGAGAAGGGTGGAAGATGGTAAGACGGTAAGATTTTGTAAAGAAAATTGCAGACATAAGGTGATTCTAGAACTAAAATTTGAGAAACATAATTCAGATTGTGTTTTTCTGGACCCCAGTTCTTTAGGTTTTAACAACAGAAGATTATTTATTGTATTTAAATCTTGTTTCACCTTTAATTGTTATGTACAAAGCAATTTGATGCTAAACTTACATATGAGCAGGATACTATAACAATTTGATCCTAATCCTACATATGAGCAATGAGCATGATACTTGGTTTTAGAAAAGTATGATAAAGGTTAATCTTGCTTCTCAGTTTGCACTGAAGAAATAGGGATCCTTCACGTATGATATGTTATCTCTTCAACCCAATGAGATCAGGTCTGCAAGCAATATTTGTATGCAATATCATCTTTCATTTATATATATATATACTTTAAAAGCCAACTTGGTAGTGCAATGGCCTATCTTGCCCCTATTTTTTTTTTTCATCACACCTCGAAGATAGAGCCTCAACCACCCTTCACCAACTCCAATGTAGATGTAGGGACAAGATTATGCCATATCACTAGCAAGTTGCTTAGAGCAACTTAGTACCAAGTTTTTTCATTTTCTATATACTATATATAATTTATATATATATATTATATATATAGATATATATATATATATATATATATATATATATATATTATATATATATATATATATGGGTAATATGGATCTAAGGTGACACCTAGGTTTGCATCTAAGGAATGCACGATCTGAGCCGTTGGTTCAAAACCCCAAAATACCTCTGGGCTGTTGGTTCCAAAACAACTCCAAAGCGAAAAACCCTCCCCATTTTCAACGCTCCTTTAGATCGCATCTGCCATCAACCGGCCCCCTCCTCTCCCGCCCGAAATCGCATCCCATTTGCTCGCTGGACCTTGCGCCCCCAACTTAGCCCTGTCGCTTGCCGCCTCGCCCTCGCCCTCGCAGGAACCTCGCGGTCGCCATCAGCGATCTCCGAGCTCGTCATCTCGAGCTTGCCGTCGTCGCTCAGCTCGCCCTCACCACCCCCTCGCCCCGGCTCAGCCTCGGCCCTCGACATCCCCTTAACCTCGCCATCACTCTCGCAGTCGCCAACAGCCATCTCGAGCTTGTCATCTCGAGCTCGCCGTCGCCGCTCAGCCTCTCCCTCGCCATCCCCGCACCCCCGCTCAGCCTCGCCCTCGAGTTCATCACCTGAGCTCATCATCCTCGTCATCAGCCCTCCGCCCTCAGCCCTCGAGTTCATCACCTGAGCTCATCATCTCGAGCCCGCCCTTAGCCCTTGAGCTCGTCGCCATCGAGTTCAGCACACTTTACCGCCGTCGAGCTCGCCCACCTCGCATTCGAGCTCAGCCCTCAGGTCCATTGCCGATTCACCGCCGCCGGAGCTCGCTTCGACCTCTTCACCAGCCCTCATGGCTTCCAACAAATTGAAAGCGTCGACGTCTTCGATTTCTTCAAAATCAAAAAGTCTTCCTCTTCTAAATGCAATAATCCTCCAACTTCATAAGTAAAATTTTTCATGATGTTCTTATGCATGTTACTACCTAATAATTTGCACTTGTAAAATTTATTGTGATTATTGTCATATCAAGTATCTATTTTAGGTATAATATTTGTGTTAATATGCGTCTTAATTTGCTGAAATATATTTAATTTTTAACCCATTCTGAATTATAATTCTCTTGTAGGGCTATGATAACACAATTGAGAAATCCGTTCAATTTGGATTATTTTCGAGATTTAATTGATAAACGTATAGTATTGGATGAAAGACACATAAAAGCCCTCGAGACGACACCTTTTCACAACTTTCTCAAGATACCCACATCCTTGAGCAATGAGCAAATAGCAATTGATTGATTGATTCAAAATTTTAATTCAGATAAACGCTCATTTATGATTAGGAATAAAAGTTGTGTGTTTGGTATAGATGATATTCACCGAATTATCGGTTTGCCAAAGGAGGGAATTTCGATAAAAATGAGTGGGACAACGGATTATACAATCTACACCTAATTTGTAAAGAATTATAAGACACTCAAGGAGAAGAAGAGTACTAGCTCTAAAGGCAAGAAGAAAGCCGATGAGGAAAAGAAGGCGGTGATTTGGGGGAAGCGCGATAGAATGACCGAGATGATTGTAGATATGAATAATAAAGACCCTATAATATGTGTGAAACTTATTGTGGCTTTCATTATCGTCTTCATATTATGCCCGCGGACATGTAAGACACTAAGACATGTCCCTTGTTAGTGTTTAGATATGCGGATCAATTATCAATTTTGAATAAATATAATTGGTGTCGTGCAGTGTTTATTTTTCTTTGCAAAGAGATGGATAAAGCAAAGAAGTCTCTTAGTATGAGAGGATTAGGTCAACGCTCAAATGCTGGGTACATGGGTGGTTTTTCCTCCGTTTTACTGGTGAGTTACATGAACATTACTTTGTATAACTTCATTTTGATAATGATTATTGTTTATGCACATGCTAATGTATAGTTTCTTTTTTGTAGGTTGGGTTTTATGAAAAAGTGGGGGAATTAGAGTATACTACAGATATTGAAAGGTTACCGCCACTCTTTTGTGTGAAGAATACCGGAAAGTGGATGAGGACTATACTATGAACAAATTATATAGAAATCCCGAAGTTTCTAACGGATATTGGCCAAGAGAATACTCCTCTTATTCATAGGGTATCGGCAGAAGTATTTCTACATATCTTTGTTCTAATAGTTCATTATTTTATCTCCTTTTTTTAGTATATATATATGCAACTATAGTATAAGTACTAATACTTGTATATTTTTTGTCTTATAGGAATCAAGGAAAACTGAATTAATTGCCTTAATTGCGGAGAAGACGTACGAGTTGAATGAGCTCACTACCGAATTACGAGAATTAGAAGAGCGTAGTGCTAGATGCATAAATAAAAACAAGGAGAAAGAGGGTAACGGAATGTAAATGCAGAAAATAAAAGCGAGGAGGACAAGGAAGCTAATGAATATGAGAATTTGGAAGAAAATGGGGAAGCCGATATTGATGATGACTTTGTGATGAGCCCAAGAGGCACGAAAATTTTAGAAGATGCTCGGTGAGTTTAGATTTTTCCAATTCTCTTGAAATGTTACTTTTTATACTTTTCGTATAATTCTTGTGTAACTCTTTGTTAATTATATGTATTTCAATTCTATAGAGATGTTTCTCAAAAAGAGGAATGTAGTAATGAGAGTAAGAGAGAAACTACATCTATCAAACGGGCTGTCAGAAAGAGGAAGAAGAATGATGGACCCTCTGTTACTTCACCTTATTTGCGTCTAGATCAGCCAAAAGCAGGCACAAAGAAGAAACGTGTCATCCAGATTTTGGATAGTCCTGAGGGGACTACTAAAAAAAGCACAAAAATGAAGAAGGCTTCATACCTACATCTCTTGACTATCCAGGTAAAGCACTAGTCTATGATTATGAGGACAAATTAATAGTGAACTTTCTACAATCGAAAATGTCCAGGTAATTGTTAATGACTTATTCTAATAATAATCTTTAAATTTACTTATTTTTAGTCGCAATTTTCTCATCATGTACTTGCATATAGTGATACGTTCATTTGGAAGTGTGCCGAAGCAAGCATATCTCGCTTAGATGCTTATAAACTATTAGCATGAGGTGAACTCTGTGACGATGTAGGTTCTAAACAATTGTGTTATGGTTTGGTTGGTGTTGTATATATTTAGCTTATATTAAACATTTTATTCATTCATGGTAAATTTTGTAGGTGATCGATGCTTTTGTTATTTGGCTTTGTCATAAGATTGAAGCAACTAAAAGTTATGATTGAAAGATACATGTCACAATACCTTGGCTTACAGTAAGTATATCCTTGTTTTTTCATTGGTTGGTGGTTTTTATTATTATGTTACCCTACGATGTTCACATTGATACATATTTTAGCAAGCATTTCTGGAAGGAAATCTTAAAATGGTGGCAAAACGAATGAAGGAAAATGTTTCTCAGCAGAAGTTTTTGGAGTGTGAAAGAATTCTGATCCCGATTGTTAGCTCCGGACATTGGCACATGGTAGAGTTAGTCAGAGAGGAGGAAAAAATTCTATCACTACTCCTCAATCAACCCCTCTGTTTATACTACCGATGCTGCGAAATTTAGAAATAAGTTTATGAGTTTCATAGAGAGTAATTGGACATTGGGGAAATTGGAGTATCATGTTCTGTGTTAGTTGTCGTGCCACAACAAGAACTATAAGTGTTTCATGCATTTCTAATGTAATTCTTCATTTTTTTTCTCAAAGTCATTTTTAATATCGTACTTTTTTTTTCCCTAAATGCAGAACCTTAGATTGTGGGATCTTTATGATTGAATTCATTAACAGCATTGTCGAAAAGCGATCAATAACAATTTCAGAAGGAGATTGTGCAAACTACAGAGCAAAGTTTTGTGCAGCTCTCTTGTATGCACGAGATTCACCATTTTTGTAAATATTATTTTAATTTTCTCCTTGGTGGTGGTTGTGTATGCAATATGTGGATGATATTATGTGGATGATATTTTGTGGATAAGTGGAAGTAACATGATGTTCATTGTAAATGTTGTTTATTTGGTACACTCATTTGATATTATGTGGCTGATGTTTTGTAACTTATTGTTCTAGAGAAATATTTGTACCAACTTATTCTAGTTTTGTAACTCATTATTGTTTCGTACCTCATTTTCAGTGCAAAAAGTTATACCCACTTATTCAAGTTTTGTACCCACTTATTTAATTTTTGTACCCACTTATTTAGGTTTCGTACCTCATTGTTCTGGAATCAAGTTTTTGTACCTATTTATTCAAGTTTTATACCCACTTATTCAAGTTTTGTATCCACTTATGCACGTTTTGTACTTCGTTGTTCTGTAAAAAAGTTTTGAACCTACTTAATCAAGTTTTGTACACACTTATTCAATTTTTGTACCCACTTATTCAGGTTTTGTACCTCATTGTTCTGGAATCAAGTTTTTGTACCCACTTATTCAAGTTTTGTACCCACTTATACACGTTTTGTACATCATTGTTCTGGAAAAAAAATTTGTACCCACTTATTTCAGTTTTATATCCACTTATTCAAGTTTTGTACCTATTTATGCACGTTTTGTACCTCATTATTCTGGAAAAATGTTTTGTATCCACTTATTCAAGTTTTGTACTCACTTATTCAGGTTTTGTACACACTTATGCACGTTTTGTACCTCATTGTTCTGGAATCAAGTTTTTTTACCAACTTATTCAAGTTTTGTACCCACTTATTCAAGTTTTGTATCCAATTATGCATGTTTTATACCTCATTGTTCTGGAAAAAAGTTTTGTACCAATTTATTCAAGTTTTGTACCCATTTATGCACGTTCTGTACCTCATTGTTCTTGGAAAAAGTTTTGTACCCACTTATTCAAGTTGTGTACCTACTTATGTACGTTTTGTACCTCATTGTTCTGGAAAAATATTTTGTACCCACTTATTCAGGTTTTGTACCCACTTATTCAGGTTTTGTACAAACTTATGCACGTTTTGTACCTCATTGTTCTGAAATCAAGTTTTTGTACCCACTTATTCATGTTTTGTACCCACTTATTCAAGTTTTGTACACACTTATGCATGTTTTGTACCTCATTGTTCTGTAAAAAAGTTTTGTACCCACTTAATCAAGTTTTGTACTCATTTATGCACGTTTTGTACCTCATTGTTCTGAAAAAAAATGGTACCTCATTATTCAAGTTTTGTACCCACTTATTCAAGTTTTTGTACCCACTTATTCAAGTTTTATACTCACTTATTCAAGTTTTGTACCTACTTATGCACGTTTTGTACCTCATTGTTTTGGAAAAATGTTTTGTACCTCAAATCTCGCACAAGAGCACTTAATTCTTTTTTTCTTTGGATGCATCGAAAACAATATGATGCTTTACTATCTTCTTGCTTTAAGCCTCGCTATCTATATTCCAAATGGCATAAGTAGCACTTGTGCCGTCCTTTGACAACCTTTCATGAAGCATGGAGTTACTGTCCTTAAGTTTTTTTCTGGAAGATAGTAAACATATTCTTTGTGTAATTCTCCTTAGCTTGTTTTTCAATGGGATGTTCAATTATCAATGTAGGAATTGAGTTTGTGGACTTAAAATCTTGCTCAAGTTCAGTAGCTCGTCGAGCTCCTACAACATTATCATATTGCTTAACGAACTCATGTAACTCGGTATTTGCATTCACAAAATGATCAAAAAAAAGCATTAATTCCCTCACTCCGCTAAGTAGATATCATTCCTGCAGTAAAAGTGTCTTTAAGATACACTGGAGCCCATTGATCTCGATAATTGTATAAATTTACTAACCAACTCTTTTTATATGCACCATATTTGTCTCTCATTTCTTTCCAACGCTTTTCAAATTTTTCTTCTGATTTGCTCAAATACTATTTGTTGTACTTTATAGAAACATCCTCATCATAATCATTATGCATTGATTGAAGATTTTGTAAGGCATTCCTATGAAGGTGCCAATAACAAAAGCGATGGTGAGTTTGAGGAAAAACATTGTGAATTACACCACACATAGCTTTATCTTGATCAGTGATGATTGTTAATGGTGCTATACCCGACATACATTTTAACCATTGGCTAAATAACCATATAAATGTCTCCTCCGTTTCATCGGCCAATAACGTACACCCAAACAGAGTAGATTGTCGATGATGGTTAACGCCCATAAATGGTGCAAACGACAATTTTAAATTGTTCGTTCTATACATAACATCAAAGCAAACAACATCTCCAAATTGCAAGTAAGAAGTCCTCGCCTTACCATCCATCCAAAAAACACTTCTCATCGTCCCATTATTTTCTAAATCCAGTGCAAAGTAAAATTAATGATAAGATACCTTTTTCTTTTGAAATTGACGAACTATGTTCACGCACTCATGGACGACATTGTTTCTTCGTTTAATTCTAAGATGATATTGGAATTCTTGTTGAGTGAGAGAGCCTTGTTCATTTCCATGAGCAACGTCTAAAACCTTACAAATGGTAGAAGGCCGTAAACCTTGATTGTCAAGAGTATCTATCAACCTTCTTGTCGATTGAGATCGATGAAGTGTCCGATGTGAGTAGTGTTTCTTTACCCGATTTGGGGTGGTTAATGGATGACCATTATGATTAATGTTTAAATTTCGGATCACCCATTTTTCAGTGTTTCTATCAAGTCCAATAACCATCCTTGCGTTGCATCCACATCTTGTATCTGACTTTCGAATTACATTCCAACTATCTTCTCTTTTATCTTTTAAAAATTTAAAGTCTTCTTTGTCACATACAAAGATTCTAAATATGATTGCATCTTTCTTTCTCGACCAAGTTGTATGACCCTTGCAAACACCAAATCCCTTAAGTCTGGCATATACATTGTAGAAATTGTAACATTCCTCATGGGTAGAGAACTCCATTCCGATATATGGATCAATAACAGAATTACCTTCACCATTTTCAACGTCAATAGGCTCATCAACATTCTTCTCATGCTCGGATGCCTGTAAAAATAAAGAAACAAAACTTATAAAACTCATTCTAAAAGACAATAGGTAATATGGTATATGTTATTAGTTACTAGTACACTATAAACAATAAGATATTATCACATGAGAGAAAAAACTTGTTGTAGATAGTAGATCATGGTCCTCGCCTTCAAGACTAATGGCTATAAGTTTGTTTTCATCTTCATCCATTATTGTATCACGTGAGAGAATTGTTAGAGTGTCCATACAAGCTATCAAATTATCACATATAAGAAGTTCAAAATCTTGAGAAAATCGTCATCAAGTTGATCTTTCAATTTCACTAAACAAATTCATTACGATAGTTCAAACCAAATTTAAAGTTCATATACAATTTAACAATAAACCTATCCCAAATGATCATATTCATAATTCATATCCCAAATTCAATAAGAATTACAAGTTAAAAATTCCATAACTATCATTGAGGGCGTTGCGGAGACCTGAGGGCTGAACTCAACGTGGACGAGCTTGACGACGGCGAAGTGGGCTGAGCTCGACGGCGATGAGGTCGAGGGCTGAGGGCGGGCTGAGCTAGAATGTGAGGGCTTTGTGGCGACGGCGAATTCGAGATGATGAGCTCGCGGGCTCGAGATGACGAGTTCCAGCGGCGTGGCTAATGACGAGGATGATGAGCTCAGGTGATGAACTCATGGGCGAGGCTGAGCGGGGATGGCGAGGGAGAGGCTGAGTGGCGACGGCGAGCTCGAGATGACGAGCTCGAGATGGTTGTTAGAGACCG